GCTGTGCTGGTTCAGACAATCCCCCACTCCCACCCTGCCCAGCTCAGTGAGGTTCCCAGTCAACGTGTCCCAGTGTTTTAAAGTCACAGAATCATAGAATGGATGGATGAATTGTGTGGAAGACGATAAACTCCTCCAGAGCTCATAAAAGTGGGTGAGTAGGGAAGAGAAACATCCTCTTACTACCAAGCCAGTGCATGAGCCTTGTTAGACACCAACCAGCCATGTTCAAGACCCTCAGGATGTGAGTCAGTAGAAAACCAGGCTTGGTTACTACAGAGTGGGGCCTCTCTGGGGCCACCAGCCTTGAGCAGCCCCTGTCAGGTGTCGGTGTGTGGCTCCTGTCCCTGTGCAGAGGGTCCCCGGGGTGTGGTGGACGGGCTGTTCCTGCATTCCACACACACTTACCTAATGCCGGCTGGACAGGAGTGTGTCAGCTCCAGGGTGGGGCTTGGGCCTTGCACTGCTAATCCTGATGCTTCAGACATTGGCTCCAGACAGAGCTGTCGGAGCAGGTTTCAAGTTGAGAGATGTCCCTGCACCCCTTTGGCAACAGCTGCCCTGCCCTTGCTGATGCATCAGCTGTTACTCACGTTTCCCCACAAGTCACATGCCCTGGCGGTGATTCCTCCAGGGCTGTTTGCTCTTCCCCACAAGCTCTGGGTATCCCATTTTCCTTTATCCTTGTTGCCACACTACCTCCTGCGAGACCTAGCCAGGATATTGTAAGGCCAGGGGCTACGTGGAGCCTGGCCCTGCATCTACATCATGTTTGCAGAGACCAGCACCTGCACTGGTCCAGTGGAAGGTGTCCCTGTCCACGGCAGGGGGTTGGAATGAGATGAGCTTTAAGGTCACTCTTCCAATCCAAACCATTCTGGGATTGTGGGATTCTCAGCACTCCCTTGTTCCTCATCAGCCAGGCCATGGTGAGCTGGCCAGCAGGAGCTGGGGCTTGTGTTGATCCCTTCTGGATGTTTCTCCAGGTCTATGGAGTTACAACAGCAAGGCTGTTGAGGTGTCTCCATCGTGAGACAGATTTGCCTTAGCAATAAATGGGAACCTCTGGTTTGACCAGCTGGGTTGGAGCCTGGTGAGATGTTGGCCTCAAACCCTGCTTGCAGGAACTGTTGGGGTATTGAGGGTATGGCAGACCCCAGACCTAAGGGAGGAGAAGGTAATACAGAGAGGTCAGAGATTTGAGGGGCAGTAGGAGAGCTGTGGTGGTGAGAGAGGTGATCAGTGTGGCCCAGAACAAGAGGAAAAATGGCAAAGCACTGTCTGGGGAGCCGGGAGGGGAGAGGGGGAGGCAGAGCCGGCAGCGTGTGATTAACTTGGCTGTGCTGACCAGAGCTGCCCACCCGCTGATCCTCTCTAACAGCCTGTGATCCCAGAGGAGCCCCTGGAGCCGAGCCGGGCGGTTGCACAATCACAGATGGGGAACCGAGGCTGCAGCAGCCGGGGGGGCTCTGCCAGACAGGCCCCGTGCTGGGGGCTCCGGGACCCCCGATGTTGAGCCCTCCAGGTGCCTGGAGGAGGGAGCAGAGCCTGTCCCTGCACAGCCAATGGTCTGGTTATTCCAGCCAGCCTGGATTTTTATTATTCCAGCCCTGAGCCCGGCTCAGGAAAGGGGCATCAACCCTCTGCTTACCCCTTATTCCCAGCCCTGGGGGCCCGTTCCTCAGCTGCCCATTGCTGTCCCCCCAACACAGACCCGGGGCTGGACGAGGTGGGCTCTGACCCTGCCTGGGGAGTTCCTGTGCTGCAAACTGCTCTCAGCAGTTGCATCTTGTTGCCTTCATTTCTAACGCAGCTGCATTCCAGGGACGGGGGAGGACCCGGGTGAAAACAGGGGTTTGCTGGCTGCTGTGGGATTATTGTTATAGACGGAGAAAAGGGACAGGAGGTAGAGGAGAGGACCCGTAAGTGAGGGCTCAGGGAATGGCTGGGGTTTGAGCAGCAGAGGCTTGGATGAAGAATGCCGATCCAGGGATTAGGATTCAGGCACAGGGTCTGTCCCAGGGAGTGGACCCCGTGCGTTCGCTGGCACCGGCCACGGTGCTGCCTCTCCATCCAGGCCGATATGTGAGATGGGTGTGTTCTGCATGGCTCCAAAACTCTAATAAATACATTTCCTCCCCAATCTTGAAGCTGTTGGGTGTTCCTTGCTTTTGGGAGGTGCTTTAAATGTGACTGCCAGAGCCGTGGGCTGCTTAGAGCAGAAGCCGATTGCACGATGCTGAGCTCGGGTCTTCCTCCTGTTTTTCTGGTGCTCACGGTGCTGGAGCTGAGCTGGTCCCTGAGTGACGAAGAAAAGAAGATAATCCTGGATGAGCACAATAGATACCGCTCCCAGGTCTCTCCTCCTGCCAGGGCTATGATGAAGTTGGTAAGTGGCTTTTCTTGCAGAGGAATCTCGGGGTGTTTGTGTGCTGCAAGCCTTGATCTCAATGCTGGGAGGGATCAGGGGGTTCCTTAGGGGAGGCAGAACAATTGTCATGTAGGGTTACAAGGAGGTGTCAGTGGGGGGTTCCCTAAATTGGCTCTAAAGAGATGAGTTTCCTTCAACTATAGACTTGTCTTTGATAATTTCTGGAATTTTTTAAGTGTGATCTGAGTCCCCTGATGCTCTGCATGAGAGTGGTGCAGCTTTTGCTCATCTGGATGTGCTGGAGTTCCTTGTGATGAGGAGGAAGGGCAAGTGAGACCTTGCCATGAGCAGGTGCCATGAGCTGGAGACGTTGCCATGGCCATTTGCAGGAGCTGGAGGGGGAATCCTGCTGTGTGGGGCATCATCTGGTGCTTTGTATTTGCCTTTGCATTTGAAGAAGCTTTTATCTATAGGAGGGACCATCAACTTCAAACGTCAGTCAGGTTTTTCAGGGATTTGGGCTGTTCATCACATTCCTAATCCTCACCATGACTTGGTGAAGGTGAGGGATCTCCTATTTGCTCCAGAAAACCAAATCATGTCCCACAGCACCTGTGGCTGCAGTGGAAGGGAAAATGAGCTCTGGAGCTGGTGCTACTTTTTGTCTTCTTTGGGCTCCTGATTTGAGTAACTCCTGCACTAGGTGATTTTTCCTCACTCTTTGCAAATCACGTGGAGAAGGACAACTGTTTACCATGGATAATTGGAGTCCTTTCCTCTTTGGGTCCCCCTGCGCTTGGAGGAGACCTCCCTGTCTGGCCCAAAGGTTGCCCAAGTGGAGTAAAACCTTTGTGGGCTGGTAAATGGGAGCAAAAAGCTAAATTCAGGGAGAGGAGGTCTGACTATGGCTTCAAACTCAATGGGGACAGAGCCAGAATATTAAGGACCATAATCCTGCGGAACCCACCAGAGCCAGGCACAGAAAACTTGGAGTATCAGGGCTTTGGAGCCAAAGTCTTAGAGAAAACCTGAGGAAAAGGATCTCTCAGGGTCTTTAAGTCAGTGCAATTCCAAACCTGTGACAGCTGCTCCCTGCTGAGGCTTTGATTGCAGACCCTGTGCTTTGAGATGCTCCCTCGGCAGCGCTGCTCTGCCTCTGCCTAAACACCCAGGACCCGCTCGTGGTCTGGAGCCAAACCCTTGGGGGTTGGTTTTCTTTGAAGCACAGCAAATGTTTAGCTTACAGAAGCCCTGACAATTCTTTGGTAGAGGTTTTCCATGAGAACCATCCCTGCCTCCCTCCCGGGGCATTTTCCTGGGCTGCCTTTGCCCCCAGGTTCACCTGCTGGCACCGCACCGGGCTGAGGTCACCCCGCGCTTCCTTCTGGGACACGGTCTGGTTGCCGTGGAAATGTTTAGGCACTGGGGGGGATATGCAGCCTAAAGCCAATTTCGTTTTTAATGAGGCAAATCTGCAGGTGCAAGTCGCCAGTTTACGGAGCCCAGCTCGGTGCCAGAGGGAGGGGGGTGTGCGCTCCCCACACTGGGTCCCCAGCCGCCGCTCTCAGCCTGGCTGGGGCCGTGGTGGGAGGTGATCCAACACCCCCTGTCCCCATCCAGGTGCTTCCTTCCCTCCCAGTGCCCTCAACACCCCGATGGTGACATGCCCTGCATCAGGGCCACGCTCTGTCCCCCTTTGGATCCAGCCCTGGCTCCGGCTGGGAAGGTCCCCCCTTAGGACCCCCTGTTTGCTGGGCTGCCTTCCAGCACAAAGCTGCTCCTCCATCAAATGGCTCAGGGATGGTCCAAACAGCTGCGGTGTAGGATTCCTCGTGTGCATCCCTGCAGGGAGACCTCTCCTCCTCCTCCTCCTCCTCCTCCTTCTCCTGCATATCAATGTGGCCGGGGGGCTCAGCTGGTGGCGGGGCCGCTGCCGCTCCGGAGGGGGCTCCTGGCAGGCGCCCAGCCGGGAACGTCTCGGATCCAGGCAAACACATGACGTTTCCCAGGAGCGTGTGTGCCTGGGTTTTGTACAGCTTGTAGGGGAGATGTGTCCTGCTCTCCTCCCACCCCACCCTGGGCAGGGAGGGACATCCCCAGGCCCCCTCTGGCGTGACCCGGGGTGGGTTTCCTCCCTTCCTCCACCCGACTTCACGGTGTCTCCTCGCTGAGCTGAGGATGCTCCGTGATGATGTTGGATGTGCTTCAGGAGAGGCTGTGAGGGTCGTGCTGATGCACTGACCTTCTCCTGTTTGACCTGTAAGCCAAGGTTTGGTTTGTGCTGGGTCTGACCATGGACCTCCCCTCCCCTGAGGACTGTGTTGGGTAGCACTGGGAGCCTGGTGTCCATCTCTCTGTGCTGATGCCAAGCTGCTTTCAGACCTGGGACAAGGAGCTGGAGAACCTTGCTCAATCCTACGCAGAGAAGTGCATCTGGGACCACAACAAGGAGAGGGGCCGACGGGGGGAAAACCTCTTTGCCATGGCCCCAATGCTGGAACTAGAATTTGCTGTGGAAGACTGGAATGGGGAGGAGAAATTCTACAACTTGACAACATCCACGTGTGTCCCTGGGCAGATGTGTGGCCACTACACCCAGGTACCAGCTGCTGGAGGGGAGGGATGGCTGCTCAGCAGAGCTGGGTGCCAGCTTGTCTTGGGCAGAGAGATGAATTTTCTTCACAGCTTGGGTGGGTGCAAGGAGGAGCAGAGATGGTGGTGGATCCTGAATGCCAAAGCAATGTGGGGATGTGGGATCTGGGGCACACACTAAGATTGGTGTAGTCACAGAGCAGCCTTCAAAGCCAGGGGATAGATTGCTTTCACCCACTGCCCTCACCTTCACCCTGGTCTTTGCCTTAGGTGGTCTGGTCAGACACAAAACAGATTGGCTGCGGGGCAAAGTTCTGTGAGAAGATCGAAGGAATCGAAACAGAGAACATGCACCTGCTGGTTTGCAACTATTATCCCGCGTAAGTCCCGGGCCTGGCGTGGCTTGGTGCATCTCTGTGGGGTTTCTGTGCTGGAAATGTCCTTCCTCCTGTCCTGATATCAGAGCAGGGTTGGCCTTGGTCAGAAATAGAAGCAAAGCAGTTCCAAGGAAGGCCTTTGTTCTAAGGGAGGTGAAGGATCTGGTCCATGGAGCTGTGTCCCCTGGCTTGAGCAGCCTTGGGCTCAGGCTGTTGAGTAAATGGCACTGACAGTCCATGGCAGGAGACCATGACCTGCTTTTTACATTAATCCTGAGTTTTGCCTTGGCTGGGATATCCCAGCTGAATCAGACCCCTCTTCAGGGTGGGTGTTTGCCTTTTCCTCACGCCTTCTTTTTCTTGGCATCTTCTGCTTCCAGGGGTAATGTGAAAGGGAAAAAGCCCTACTGGGAAGGACCCCCGTGTTCGATGTGTCCCACAGGCACAGTCTGTGTGAACAACCTGTGTGGTGAGTGAGCGAAGCCGCGCGTGTCCCTTGAGGGGCTGTTGGGACTGAACCCCCTGGGTTGGGGTCCAAGCTCTGAACCCTCCTGGAGTTTTCAGGAAGCCCTGAGCCAGCAGGTCCAAGGTTGGACCATGAGAGCTCAGGAGCAATGGCTGCTCCTAAGAGAGGTCAACTGCCTCAGGAAGAGGAGAATTGGACAAGGGCCTTGTATCCCCTTAGGCAGCA